ACACACACACACACTTACATCTGTATGGTGCTGATGATTGTGCCGAACAGGCCGACCATGCCCAGGAACTCCACCCTGCTCAGGTTCTTTACTGTGTATTCCTGACACACATTAGACACTGCGTACAGCGCGGCGCTGAGCAGCACCAAACCGTCTCCTAACAGGATGTTTGAGGCTGAGGAGAGGAGAGACGTGTCATTGCTGTGGTCAAACATTGTTTAAATAACTTTGCTCTACATCATGCACCAACACACTGATTGGCTTGAAGGACTATATTTGTTTACTTGATTGCCCTGAAGAAAGAACTGACACTAGTGCATTTACTTGTTTGTTTAGATTTATTAAACTGCTAAAAGTGCAGTTTTCTAAGACTAAGACTAAGTTAAAGATAAAAAACATATACTCTACTCTATGATAGATATTTTCCTATTATTTCATCCCCGTTTAAATATATATTTCCCCTTTATTCTTAAATAGTACTCCCCTGATTTAGCATTGACAGACTCATGATGGCCAGGTTATAGAGCAGAACCACAGATGTCAGCTTTTTTGTTCCATTTATTCTTCTTTCTTGTCAAAACCTGCCACCTACAGGACCCACAATGCAACTCGAACTTAACTCAACTTTAATTTAATGGTTTGATAATTTCTGGCCCTGATCAAAGAATTATTTATTAAACAAATTATAGCATTGGGCATTGATGAACTCAGTGAGTAAGCGCTTACTGGAGCCCTGGTCTCGTCCAGCCAGCAGGTCAGCCCCAACCATGGACCCCACACCAACGAGACAGATGCAGACGCCGACATAGTGGACAGGCCTGTAGCGTGTCTTCAAAACCCACCAGGACAGTATCATCAGGACCGGGATCACAAAACAGTCCAGCAGCTGGAGACAGGAAGACAGAAACACATTGAAATATAATAACATTAAGACATTTTATCAACATAACAATAATATTTCAACAACACTAAATACAGTAATCCTTAAAAAAAAAGAAAGTGTCAACTTTTAAGCAGCACTAATGAAATGACATGTGCTTCACTAAAACATCCTTTTTTAATAAGAGAGTAGAGAGTATTGCTCCTCTTGAAGCACAAATATTTCACTGGTTGTGTGAAACTTCTGCAGGTGGAACCAAAGAGCCACAGTTTGTCTGATTCTGGTGGCATTAGATTAAAAGTTGAAATGAAAATCAAAGCCAAGAAGAAACATTGTAAAACATCAAACAGGAATTTAATGGAATCAACCAACCTTCCCTCAATTAAGTTTTACTAATTTCAAGTTAACTATTGACTGGAATTAATGAGTTGAAGCCCATTCAATTAAAGTTCTCTTAAAGTTTTTAAAGAAACATGATCTGTTTTCATGACACAAACACAACCTTTACCCACCTGTATACTGGTGATGGTGGTGTATTGGTACGCTTTAACCACAGCATAGTTAGCTTCCACGTCCACCAGTCCCAGCAGAAGGTACTTCCACCATCGCTTCTTCAGAATCTGTAAAATATTGCCAGCCCCTACGTTTTAAAGGGGAACACCACTGAACTTCAGTATTGACACTTGTTTGTTTCAGCACCAAACCTGAGGACACTTTGAATTACTACTGCTCGCTGTGGGCAGATGATACTCACTTCCATCTTTGTAATGAAATAGAAAAAGTAACCATTCAAAAAATGTATAATTGTTTATTGAACAGTCTTAATGATGGCACATACAAACAATTTGATACCGTAATCTTGGCTCTATACTAAGTTGTATAATTTGTGTTTGCCTGTTAGTGGTAGAGGAAGTACTCTTTATAGGTGAAAGCAGCAATACCCCAATGTAAACATAGTGTTTTTACTTTAGTTAAGTACTTCAGTTATCTGAAAAATATACTTAAAGTATCAAAAGTAAAATAACTCAGTTCAGAAAAAGTGTTATATTATTGTATATTATATAGAATACTTTAACATCTCTTTGTCTGCCAAATTAAAACAATATAAATCTAAATGTAATACTGTTGCTGATGTATTTATGTGTTAGTTGATCTCATCTAAACTATTTGATATACTCGTGTAATACTTTATTCATAACAATACATTACATATACAAGTTTTACTTTTAATTTTTTATGCAGTGAAGTAAAAATGTCCTTCTAAACTGTAAAGTGGCATAAAATAGACATACTCAAGTGAAGCACAAGTACCTCAGATGTATATATATATATATAGTTATATCACACTGTTCCTATAGTTTGTAGCCAGATAACTTACACAATACTAAAAGTAAAACAGAAACATTTAATGATATTGTTATAATTCCTCCTGTGGTATTATCTCGGGTGTTCAGACACAGACATTAGTGGTGTTACCTGTTTTGCAGAGCAGCATGGTGGTGTAGGTGACACACAGCAGAGTGTAGTTAAAGAAGCTCTGCAGCATTGGTGTGTTCACATGGAAAGTTGTGGCCAAGTACTGGGAGGAGATGGCCGTCCCACAGATTAGTCCAGCCAGGCCTTGACCCATGGCCATTGTCTTGGCCAACTGCCTGAGGGGGACGATAATACACAGACAGTATGTTTAAAGCAACATATACAGGATTTTAAGTAGTATTTTTAAACATTTTGTATATATATATATACCTGTTAATAGTTTGATGAGAAGATTAATACTACTTTTTATAAGTGTGGTTTCAATCTTCTCATCTAACATCATCATATAAATAACTAACGAATGATGACCAATGAATCTTTTTATCTTCGATCTCTATTAAATACTTTGTTCTTCATGTACATCAACATTATTTGATGTATCTCATTACATGTACAGTGACGAGTCAGTAAGTGTGAGGAAAAGCAGAAATCTGTCTTTACTTCATTTGTAAAAATTACAGAAGCTCAACATTTGACATTTTTCAATATTAAAAATCACTGCCAGCATTGTTTTAAAAGAATAAAACACTCGGCTACTTGTTTATTTTTAAACGGGGTCCGATGTACAGCTCAATATCCTCTTAATAAGACTTTTTAAAGGGTTTTTTGTTCTCAGCAATATTTGAAATGTTCAGTGTGTGTTTCACTGGGTCAATATGCTGAAATCAGCTTTCTACAGCTAACAGCCTGATGTTTGTGCACAAGACAGTTTTCGTGACTTTAGACATTGTTATCTCCAAAGTGGCTGAATGGATATTTCTAACATATAAACTTAATTTGAAAACGTCCATCTCCATTTGTTCTTTTGCATTTATAAAAGTGTCCTTACAGATCGCTCTTGATGTTAGTTCACATAAAGAGACATAGGAACCTGGGACCATGTGAGCCCCCAAATATTCAAATTAATAATCAAAATGTTACTTATACACGTGTAAGTAAGTAAGTATTAACATCAAAATATACTTAAAGTACCAACAGTAAAAGTATTCATTATGCTGAATGGCCCATTTTAGAAACTTTTTAACCTTTTCCACCAAATGCTAAATGCTGAGAGATCCAAAGATACATCTAAAGTTGAGGACTACCTTCTTTACTCTTACATGCTTCTTCCGTCCACTCACCAGGTGAAAACTTCCTTGGGGTTGAATTTCCTGATCTTCATCATGAATCCACCACTGCTTTGGTTTTCATAACTCGTGTCTCTGGAGGTTGCATCCTCAGACTGTTTCATAGCCATGTTGTCACACCAGTGACTGAAGAATCCTCTCTGAGTTTTAACTGTTGCAGGCTTTTGACTTCTTGACTTTTAAGTTGTCAGAGCTGAATGATTAACTGACTCCGAGGACAAAGATTACTCTTTCACTTATCTGTGTATAATGTGTTGAAGACAGCCAGCAGCATTTAAAGATAAGAACTGATGATGAAAGTGACTGAAAGAAGTCATCATGCTTCCTCGTTGTCACTCTCATCTGTTATCTGCTGATGCGATAACAACTTGTGTTGAGGGAAATGTGCTTCATCAGTGTTTTTTTTTTATGGAAATGGAGGTGGTGGAAACTAAGTACATTAACTGAAGTACTGTACTTAAGGGCCTACAACTTTAAGGTACTGATACTTTATTATTTCCATTTTATGCTAGTTTATACTTGTATACATTTCAAAGGGATATATTGTATTTTTGTACTTTGAACTATGTTTATCTATGTCTATGTTATTTACTTTTTGATTTTCTATATAAACATTGGCTATAATACAATGTATTGTTAAGATTAAATTTGTGACTCCAACCTTTTTGGCTTGTGACTCCTCAAGAAAATTGGCCTCTTGTCATCAGTTCCTCTAAGCTCTAAACTCCTGATTCTTTCATTGAATTATTTGTTTGAAACCCCAAACTGCACATTTATCCAATATTTCATACTAAATAATCAAATATTAGTTTTTCTCCGGTTGGGCCTCGGAGAGATGTAGACGCGCGTCTCTGAGCTCCCCCATATTAACCTTTATTTATGTCAAGGAACCAAACCCACACATGTTTATGACAGATTGAGAGTCGTATAAGCAGAGTGTCGATCGAGAGACGGTGAAAAGAAGAGTTTTTATTCACTTTTGTTACAACTTTTCGACGAAACAAGATGCCGGATCTGAGGAGCGGCACTAAGGCCCCAGAGCACGCAGAGACTGAGAGCACGGACCCTGGTCAACCAGCTATACTCGACGCTATTACGTCTTTGAAGGCTGAACTGCTGGCAAAAACAGACGAGAAAGCGGAGACTCAGAACGCCGAAATATGGAAACAAATAAGCATCGTTAAAGACCAAATGAAAACGGCCATTGAGCGCGCTAACGCAAGGACTAACGCTCTGCAGCAGCGCACCGCTAGTTTGGAAGTTGCGGCCAACAATCACTCTGACACCATCAGTGAACTGGAGCAACAGGTGTCCCAATGTGCGGAAAGAGTGGTGAGTCTACGGCAAAAACGAAGACTAGAGGCAAGATCCACGGAGATGCAATCTACACCCATTTTCGGTATCAAGGAAACGACGTGAAGAGGCACCCGCAACCAACTTGTCGCCTGTGAATCCAAATACCAGGAAAGCACCTGAACCTGGATACACCAGCACCCTCCAACAAGCTCCGGATGTAGTCGGGATCAAACTAGGGCCATAAAGATTTTGTAGCCTGTGAAACAAAGTTTGTGCATCTGTAGAATAAAGTTTTTACCTGTAAACAAAGTTGTTGGCCTGTGCAAGCATTTGACCAGACGACTCACAGTTCCTACCCTCCACGTGCGACCATTGAAGTTGCGACGCACCAAATTATTCTACAAGTACCAAACTTCTTTACAGACTCAAACAAACTTTTCTACAGTACAAATCTCTTTATGGCCCTAGCTACAACCAAGAGCCTTTGTGGTCAATGTTGTCCCACTATTGCCAGAAAAAGAACCATCCTGCGTAAATCACTTCGGCACAAAATCTTCATCTCCGAACACGTGACAGGATTCCGGATGATTTTCCTGATTATACACAGTCAGGCACCCGGCACCGGCTGCATTTCAAGCAGGTGAGACAACTTCTGCAACGTTGTGAGGCGTGAAATACGGGAATGTGGTACCTCAGCCAAGCTGTAGGATACAGCGCGGGATGGAGTGCAGAGAAGCTTCACGGACCAGTCAAATCCTGAAGCGTTTTGTAAAAGAACCAACGGGCACATCATTTCTACAGAAGATCAACACTTTCAAGACGGTTATATTTACAAAAACAAAGCAAGTGTCCTTCTAACTGGACAGTAAGCGTAAGTGAAGGCTGGCTGTTAAGTAAAGAGTAATTTATTGTGAAGTTGTGGTAATGCACAAACAGTTGCCATGTTTTATTTTCTTCTCATATAAGCCAACTGGGCTTGATTAGATAGAGCATTTAACTTGTTCAG